GTCCGTCTGTCCGTCGGTCCGTCGGTCCGTCTGTCCGTCGGTCCGTCTGTCCGTCCGTCCGTCTGTCCGTCCGTCCGTCTGTCCGTCCGTCCGTCCGTCCGTCCGTCCGTCCGTCCGTGTGTCAGTGTGTGCGTGTGTGTCCGTGCGTGCGTGCGTTCGTCCGTCCGTCCGTCCGATCGATTGGATCGATTGGGCCGATCGATTGAATTGTCTGTTTGCAAATGTTGTATTTACTTGAGGTACTTTTACCACAATGTCTTTCCTTCTTCTCTTCGAAATATTTAGATCTAGTTTAGAGGCCTACGTTGTCTGATTACAGTTTGAGTGGTATATAGTTTCGCTACAGTGGCTAAATTTGATAGATAAAATTGTATAATATTATTTTCAATTGTTACAGTAACACTTCCTGCTGAGCTTAAAATACTCGCACATCTGGTGCCTCCAAAGGGAAGAATTTCAAAAAAAATTAAGTTCACTACTCAGGAAGCAATTGACTCCTTATATATTTGTGTGCCGGTATGTTTTTTTTAATAGCCCCGCCCTAGGGAAACCCTGTGTCGCGGGTGCCATGGATATACACATAAACAATCACAAATTACACTCAAACTCACGAGAGAAATAAATTTAGGCCATACAAATATTTCTCCCAGCCCGGGAATCGAACCTGGGACCTCTGCGTTGGCAGTTCGGCATGGTAACCTTTCGGCCACGGAGGAATTTATATATGTCGACTCATCCGAAGTCCGATATGATTATATAACGAAAAGAGAATAAGTACGTTACGAGAATAATTTCGTTATTCAAACTAAGGCCTGTGTAAAGGCGTTTTGACAATTTATATATCTTATTTCGTTTCGAAAATACAAAATCCAACAACAGTCGATCTGACATTTACAGCGAAGAAGAACAAACGAAATGTACTATGTCCTGAGAACAAGTAGTCTTGCACATATAGATCTTTGTTCTACGGATGAGTAGGTATATATATATATATACATATACATATATAAAACTGTCTCCTGTATATAATATATATATGTATTTTTTGTTTTCAATATTTATGCCTCATATGCCTCATTTATAATATTACTTTGTGGTAAAGATTGGCTCACAAATCTGTTGTGGCTACTTATTATGTTTCATTATGTACTCTTAATACTATCTTAATTTCTAGAATGCTGGCGATATAGACCAAGTAATCAAAGAACAAAAACAAAAGGCGACAAGCAAGAAATTGTCTGTTCAACCCTATGTTATACTCCAGGGATCTTTGCTAGAGTGTGGTTCACCGTTACTAATAGTAGATGATGTAAGATATCAATTTTTAACCATAACAAAAGCTTTTGATACTCTTTTTAAACTTTACCATACCTTCAACGTTAGATATCCCAGAGCAGGCGACCATTTATATTTGATCATACAAAGATGTGTATATAATATAGAAACTAAGTACGATAACGTCGTACCGTATATAATTGACGTTTTGAATATGTGATTTAGCTAAACACCACTTTCAAGGTTTCATAAACTCAATCAGAGCAGGGCCCACTCCCAATTGAGTTGTTCATGCTATTCTTTGAAAAAAAAAACAGTTTATACACAGACTTTCAATTAGAAAGAATTTTCTTACCACTTCTAACTCAGTTACGACAATTTATGCAACAATAATTGCTACAAGTGATATTTACAATATTGTTAACCTGATCAATCTCCGACTAAAACTCTCTGTGTTTCGCTTATTGTCAAAATGGATTTGAACTGTAATTACTGTCACAAAATACTTCATGATTTTAAGCAATACATTTTTCATTTAGAAACTATCCATAAAATAGGTAACTATTTTGTCTGCCCTTTTGAGAGTTGTAAAAGAACATATGATAAAAAAAATCGTTTTAAAAATCATTTAACAACGTGTTACAATTCAAATCGCAATAGGAATAGTACTTCTTGTGACAATAGTATTAATATCAGTAACTCCATCCTGTCCGAACAAAGTTCATTTCCAAGTACCAATGATACACACCAATCTTTTGACACATCACCGTCGAATGATAAAGACACTGGAAATGAATCTTTTATAAAATCTGTAAAATCATACTTAAATATATTTGTATGCAATTTATATGGGTTTGTTAGTTTACCAAGATCTTTAATACAAACTTTGATAGAATTAGTTCAAACCTTAATCCACAACATCACTTCAAATATACACGAAACAGTTAATAACGAACATATAGATGCCACTAAAAGAAACATTATTGTACTAGAAATGATATTAGCATTACCAGACATATTTAAAGACTACGATACAGAATATAAGCGCTTGAAAAATTTAGTTGACAATGAGTATTATGTAGCCCCTGTAGAAGTAAAGATCGGAACTGTCAAAGATCGACGTAGTGAAAATAATGATGTAACAATGATGCTAAAGGAAAGAAAACTTTACATGACACCACTTAGACAAACATTAAGCAATTTTTTAAACTTACCTGGAGTACTTTCTCACATTCTTAATTATCAACAGATGCTTTTGGACGAGAGTAATGTAAGTAACGGTGATGTGATTCGAAATGTGATTCAAGGATCGTTGTGGAAAGAACTTTCGGCTAATATAGACAAAGACAGTATCGTTATCCCTTTAATTTTGTATTTTGATGATTTTGAAAGTGGCAATGCCCTAGGAAGCCACGCTGGCGAATATAAGTTAGGTGCAGTTTATATTTCTATTGCAACTATTCCGCCAGAACAATCAAGTAGGTTAGAAAATATTTTTGTGACTCAAGTATTTTATTCAAAGGACAGAGTATTTTTTGGCAATGGGGCAATTTTTAACAAATTAATTGAAGAACTTAAGTTTTTAGAAGAAGTTGGCGTTGGTGTTTTATTGTCCAAAAATATCATTACAGTAAAATTTGTATTAATAACTTTATCTGGAGATAACTTAGGACTCCACGGCGTATTAGGACTTTTCGAAAGCTTTATGGCTACATATTTCTGCAGGTTTTGTTTGACTACCAAAACTGAATCTGAAACCCAATCGTGTGAATTAAATAATCTACGAATGCCTTCTGAATACAATCAACATGTTGAAAATCGTATAGGAATTAAAGAAATATGTGTTTGGAATAATTTGAAATATTTTCATATTTACAATAATGTTACATGTGATGTGATGCATGATCTTACGGAAGGGGTACTAAGGTATGGAATGGCCCTTGTGATTAGAAGTCTAATAGATAAAGGATATTTCTCACTAGATCATCTGAATTCTAGGATAAAGTACTTTAAGTACAATACTAATGAGAAAAACACACCACCACCAATCAATAATCAACACTTATTAAACAAAAGTTTAACTATATCTGCTTCTGAAATGTTATGCCTTACAAGAAATTTTGCTTTTGTGGTTGGAGATTTAGTTGAAAATAACGACCCCGTTTGGAACTATTATTTAATATTATTGGAAATAACAAATGTTCTCACTTCCCATTCGTTTACTTCAGACCTAATAGATTACTTAAAAAGTATTATTGAAGAACATCACCAGCAATACCTTAATTTATTTCAAAGTAAATTAAAACCCAAACATCATTTCCTTATTCATTACCCTACAATTATAAAAAAAATTGGGCCGCCTATACTTATAAGTGCTTTTAAATACGAAGCGAAACACAAAGAGTTAAAAAAGGTTTGTCAGTCAATAACATCACGAAAAGATCTTCCTCAATCTGTTATGAAACGTTGTCAACTAAAACAAAGTTTTCGATATGCAACTGAGAAAGGTTTGACGGATAATCTTTTGTATGGTAAATATGAATTTGATGAAGGCCACTGTGGTGCAGACAATTGCATTTATGTTGATTGGTGTGAATTAAACGGAATTAGGTATACCGTAAATAATGTTTTGCTACAAGATATAATTGAGGATATTCCCAAATATTATATTGTTAACAAAATAATGATTAATCATTGTACTAATGACATATTATTTAAATGTTTTTTTTTAGATATTGTTCATTATAATGCTCATTTCAGAGCATATAAAGTAATACAAACAACACGTAGTCGTACTATTGCGTATGTAGACTTGTACACAAATTTAATTTCTGTACTGTATAAAGTAAAATTGGATTCCTATGTTAAAGTTGATTTTTGATGTATATTATATTGTACTGTGATGTCGACAAAACGAGTACGTGCAAATCCAAAGCTATTTCAGTGTTATGAGTAGGTACAGTCGCTGTATGAAGATTTATTATTTTGATTTCGGCTGTTTTAGTGTGATTGTTTAAATTATTCAGAAGGGTTGTTGCAGTGCAAATTTATATAAAATAAGTAAGTTACGTAAACAAGCCCTAAGGTTTATTGAATTATGGTTTGTCACACATATATGCATATATGTAGGAACACGAATTTTATTTCTGTGAGTTTTAATTTAATTTTCTATGTTAAAGTTTTTCATGTCAATAATTCATTTTGTATTTTACTAATATTATGCCAGTATTGTATACGTGTACGAAAAATAAACGTTTTTTAATTTATTTCCTAAATAAGTATAATCTTTTTATTATTTAAGTCGTTTTGTGTCAAGTATTTTAAGCCTGCAATTTTATTTTGTTTAAATTTGTGAACAATTCTCAAAAAAATACAACCGTTTTCAAGAAGCAATAATTATAATTTGATAAAGTCAGAACGTCATAACAGCAACGCCAATGACTTCATTAAAATTAATTGTTGCGTTTTGAAGGCGGTTATATATTTTTTTAATTATTCACAAACTATGTCCTTAGGCTCAATTTATATAGCAGCGGAACGGAATGGAAACGAATTTTTGTAACGTTATTGTACATAGCATAATGAATTTTATGGTCAATTGTGTAACGTACATGCTCGAGAATGCTCGAGCATTCCGCGGAAGATTTTGGCTCGTATCTAGTTTGTACCGTTACACAATCGACCATAATGTTCATTATGTTATGTATAATATCGTTACAAAAATTCGCTTCCACTCCGTTCCGCCGCAATATAAATTGAGCCTTATTTTAAACAAACAAAATGACTTAAATCAAAAATACCCCACATTTTAACCCAAGACGGTAAAATCTTACATTAAGATTTACCCCACATTTTAACCCAAGACGGTAAAATCTTACATTAAGATTGTAATGGACTTATTAATAGCAGAAAGTTGCTTTGATATAACTGAACCAAAAGTCATAATTTAAGAAATTTGGTTTCAGAATGAAATCAAACTTCTCTTAAACATAGAAAACATAAATCTTCAGTTAAATAATTATCTCTCAATTTTCATTCTTTTTTTTTCAAGTCAAAATCAGAAATTTCTAATAACAAATAAATATTTTCTTGAATCTAGAGTAGCTTTATGACTTAAATAAATTAATTTGCTCTTGGATTAAATATTTCTGTCTTAGAACTAAAATACACTTTTGAGACGTTTTTTTACTATTATCAAGTAATTATTCTCTAGCGTCTATAGGGAGCGAATCGTTTTCTTGGATTTAATAAAATTGTCTTCATACAAAGAAATTTGTCTATTTTTAAGTAATCTGTTTTTACCGTGCGTTTTTGCATAAAGCACTAAATAAAAAGATAAATAGGTGATGCTAATGGAACGTATGCGGATCGGTCCGTCTGTATAGGAATTACTTTTGCAAATATACACTTTATTGTATTTGCAAATAATTGTACTTACTTATTTGGTTTGGGTCGGGTTCTATTTAGTGGCGTCAGAGGTAGTGTAACCATATAGTCTTAAGAGCGGTTACACACGGCGCCTGAGTTAGCAGCTTCCCTTTACAAGTGCGTGGATTTTAAGCAGCGATGCAAAAGCGATGCAAGCGCTTGACTTAATCGATACAAACACGCAATTGCATCGCTACACTCGGCATTTATAGGCGATTGAATCGATGCAATCGCGCGTTTGTATTGATGCAATCGCGCGTTTGTATCGAGGCAGTCGCGCGTTTGCATCGATGCAATCGCTTATAAATCGCAAGTGTAGCGATGCAATCGCGCGTTTCACGAACGCGCGTTTGCATTGCTGCTACATGTCGCCGTCGCTGTCGCTCACTCTAACACTTTCCCAACATTCGCTGGGATTACCTAATCATAGATTACCTTCTACAAACTGTTCCGAAACGTAAGCTAAAATTTGCATAACATTTTCAGTATTTTAATATATGATACCAAGTAAATAATAATAATAAATTGTTTATTGAATAACTTATTGTACAAAGGAATAACTTAAGACTAATTATGCGTATCAACGTGACGGAATAAACAAGACGTGTGACACACTTGTTCATAACAATTGCAGCGTCCCTCAGAGCTTTAAATCGTAATTAATCGTAATCTTCACTTTATGCTGTCTCCAAATACGAATGTAAGTTAAAAGTGACTAGATATCTTTCGCAACTCAACTATGATGAGACTGAAAATCTGCTTAAAATCGTCAAATAACCTCACGCGTACACACTCACGCGTATACACTCACGCGCACGCACGCACGTTCACTCTCTCTTTCTCTCACACACACACTCACTCCGCACGCACACACGCATGCACGCACGCAAGCAAGCACGCACGCACGCACGCACGCACGCACGCACGCACGCACGCACGCA